AAAACGTAATGTATGCGTTAGCGGCGTTTGTGGTGGGGTACTCACTCGGCCTGCGTGCCACATAAAATGTGGCTTGGAGCCCGGGATTACTGCGAGAGGAGAGAGGGCCTGGCACACAAGGCCCGGGAGCAGCTCCTGCCTTCCTGTACCTCGAGCATTCGTGTGCGGCAGATGGGCAACTCAGCACTTTCAGCCCACAGACTTGACCAAGTCGTTGTAGGCTTCACAGCACACAGTTTTAACCGAAGCAAGTCACAAAATAGATGGGTGAACTGAGGGGCGTCTAGCAGAAGAGAATGCACTGGGGATAACTCAGACAAAAGGCAGAGCTGATGGCTCTCCTGTCCCCAGCACAAGCTCTTTGGAGTCACATTGGTAAAAACTGCAGAATAATCAGAGCCAGCGGAGAGATGAGGCAGTTTCACAGCTGTTGGCAGAATTTGTTTTGATCCACTGCCCCAAACAATGACCTCACCCATAGCGTGTGATAGGTCCTAAGAGACTATTCAATATTTCAGACATCATCTGATGTAGGATTTCAGTCATGATAAGCATGACATTTAAAACCTAGGCTCTGGGAACCTGAGATACAAATTGTGAGTTTTCTTCAGCAGTTGTTAAGGTCCTCGAAGAAGGCTTTCCAAAATTTCTCTGAAACTTGATGGAAAATGTTCTGAGGTCACTTTGGAGGTTTCTTGCATAACAATGAGAACAAGAAATTTTTTGTCTGGCACCAACAAGCAGTTCTGAGCCAGGATTACAAAGATTGCACTTGAAACTTCTTCATTTCCCCCACTCACTCAGAGCTTCTGCAGCAAGGAACTGAAAGCCGAAGCGTATAAGTTTTCTCAGGAAGTCATTCAAGTGCTAACTTTTCCAACACATAAAAAAGCTGTATTTTGTGTGAGAGACCTGTGTCATGCTTTGGCATGAGATAAGGGTAACAAGGAAAAGCTTAGACACCATGCAGGTGCCCTGCTTATATTTTATCCTAGTAATTGTTAAGGTTTCTCAACTTAAAACAGAAATGGAAAGTTTTACTTTCACAATAAAACAAATGGCTGACATTTTCTGTGATGACTGGTAGGTCTTGGCAGGTCTATGTCCCTTTCTATCTACATCCATCTATATATTGCCCGCCTATCAATCT